ACTCCTAACATTTAAAATGTGTCACTTTTTAAGTATTTAAGTCTGTGTCGTGCAAAACTGCAAACAAATAATTAATCAAATTTTGGTCGCTTTCAACGTATTTTAGTACAAATTTCTATCTTTTGTCGTACTTCTCTGAGAGCACTTGAGCCGTGCAGTAAATTGGGAACCAGCAGCTATTTTTCTCAATTGAACTTTTCTGAAAACCTCTGATTTTGCACATGGTTTCATTTTCCCATCAGTCTTTCTTTTTTTTATGCTGCTGCGTGTTCAGTTGTAAATTTGTCTTTCAGGGTTTAACATCAGAGTATGTGTGAAGTGTGACTGGTGTGAGGCTTACCCTCTAAACAGAAGTTAATTACCCTGCTTCTGTTTATAGTATTGATTTTTGTCCTGCTGTTTGTTTACTATAATAATACTGATTTACAACAGTTAAACACTTATCAACTTTTTGGTAATTTGCATAGAAAATTGCTTAAATTTTGTGGACATGTGTTTTGTATTTGATATCAAAAAAATGTTTGTAGGTTAATGTCAGAGAAAAAAAACACCCTTAGATTAGTTAGACAGTGAAACTAAGAGTCATTTGGGTAATTTTGTAATTAAATGACTCAATGACTAGTCAAGTCCAAGTTTTCAAAACTCCTTCTAGAACTTCCTCATTTTTATTTTTGTGGTAGACAGATGAAAGCTTTTGACAAATAAAACATATTTTTTAGGTCTTTGTGTGGCCTGACTTGACTCTTACCAGCACTGCGTCTATGCATTGACCATCATTTTGTTCCACATCAAAGTCCTGGGAGAAGTGCAGCTCCAGCTGAAGGTGCTCCTCCACAGACAGGGTGTACCGACAGTTGGCATTTTCTGCRTATGACTCAGGCCAGGAGGGACTGGAAATGTTACCTTCGCTGAGCCCTGACAGGTCTTCAGCACACCTCACTGCGTTTAGGATGAGACTTTATCATTAATTACTTTTATTAACATTGATAAAAAAATACAAGATCAGCCATCTTTTTCCTGGGCTGACCGCTTCTGCTTCTTCTATTCCCTAATTTCACTTCATGTTTCGGTTTTGTTTCTCCTTCCTTGATTTGTCTTCCTCTGTTTCACTTGACTTCATCGTTCCTTTTGCGCGCCGTTAGCTGGCTACTAAATTAATTAGTTTTACCTGTGCAGGTGTGTTTGTTTTCGGCTAGGTAGTAACCATGGCGACAGGAGCAGTAGTACCCTCCGATGACGTTGTGACAGAACTGGGTGCATTCGTTGTTTGGGTCGTCCTGACACTCGTCAAAGTCTAAGAAAACCAGAATAATCAGCTTGACTCTCTGTAGAAAGTTCAAAAGGTTCATTTAAAAGTTAAAGTAACTTAAAAAATAAATTTTCACATCACTGATGATATTGATGATCTCAGTAGACTTTGAAAAACAGAATGTTTGTATTTTTGTGTGCTTTGGTGTTATAGTTTTTGACAGATTACATTAGAAAACACCAGGGCTCCTTTGTTGATGTAGATGAGACCACAGTCACTGCTGTGCCTTTTGGCCTGAGTTGAAAATCTTAAATTCTTTTGAAGCGTCCAGGCGAGTTATTTTTGTGCTTTTGTGCATGCTTAATTTGCACAACAAACATTGGAAGTGTTTTTCTCTATATACAAGGAAATAGTGGCTCTAAAATTGTCACATAAATAATGAGACGCTTCCATATCAGGTTTAGCAGCTTATTGCCTGCAGACATTGTGGCTCTTGTTCTAAAACACAACTTTCCTTAAATACAAAAAGGTGTCTGCAACAACAAGCAGAGTTTGGTTGGACACAATAAATAAATCATCCTTTAGCGTATCTCACCTTGAACAGTATAAAAGCCTCTGAAGCCGTCGTGTCTCTTAGTGTTTGAATAGTCGGAGTGGAACAAAAGTGTGAGGCAGCCACCAGGGGAGGAGAGAAGAAACGGATTCACTGTTTCCTCGAGCTCTTTAWATTCCTTTTTGCCACACAGAACAGCTGTTAGGCTCCCATTTGAGAACACCTGGTTATAAATATTTGAGACGAAAAGACACTTAAAGATGCAGATCCCACAGCAGGCTTAATACAGAACAAGGTAATAAGTGAACCCGACCTTTACTGCATCGTTTTCACAGTCTTGGCTTTCCTCCAGGTCCAGGTGGATGAGCCTGATTGACAGGGTGTGACCTTTGGGGGCGCATCGACTCCAGTTTACTTTGGCATGAGGTGAGTAACCCATGGGATACCCGGGAGACTCCACCCATCCCAGGAGCACTGAGTATGTTGAGCAGGGGAGCAAGAGAAGCAGGAGACTAAAGGAAAACATTGCAGCAGCGAAATATAGAGAAACACATTATGGACAGAAAAACTAAATGTTTCATCTGTTAACACTTGGTTGTATAAATTGATTTATGTTTAAATATAAACAATGTATTTTGACTTTAGCAATTAGAAAAAAAGATTAATGAAAACTTTCATTACTGAAGACATCTTTTACGCAACAGAATAACTTTTGCATTTCTGTTTTCTTTACCCAATCTCTGGATCTGTATCAGAATCTGTCATCTTTTTTCCAAAAAATGAGAAATAGATTGGGTACGGTGTGTTGTAACAAAAACTGTGACGGAGCTGAGTTGGTAAACATGACTTTCATATCACAGGCATACCAAAAACAAAGATTAGTTACAGGATGTGTCATTTGAAGCTTTTAATCCACAGAGCTTTAAAACACATAAAAAGAGCTTTAGAGTGACTGCAGAGCTTAAATTACATYTTGTCAACTTAACTTCAATTAAAAAGATCTGTTGAGTCCACAAGAAAGCTGGCTATATTGGAAAAACTGCCTACGCTAAATATATATTTTTCTTTTATAGCAGACTGCGATCTGGTAGAAGAAAGTCATCCTTTCTGATGAATCATTYGTTATTTCCAGATTATTATTTAGTCATGATTGTCTGAGCTAAGCACTGCATGAAACAATGACTTCTAAAGATTTGTCATTGCTCTTGCCACAGCTAAATGTGTCAACAGAAAAACCCAAAACAAACAAAAACTACATGACAGCGGTGATGGCAGACACTTTGGCTTCCACAGAAATCAGATCTAAAGTCATGCTTTTTGTCAGCAAGTGAAGACACAATGAYACAATGAAGAGCTCAAATCAAGTTCTGCTTAAAGAGCGGGTGAATTAATAAAATCTCCAACACTCTAAAACCCTCATGATTTTAATCCTGAATGTATTGAAGTAGTTCCTGTTGTCAAACAAGAACCAAGTCAATAGCAATATGGTTTAATGTAGTGTTTTTTTTTGTTTTGTACAAATAATATATAATTTGACACAGAAACTACAAAACATAAAACTGCAGATTCCAAGTGCAATGTTGTAAAAAAATGTAATCCCACCTTAATCTCAACATCGTTATCCGATCAAATCACTCCTCAAATAAACAATATTTTCTCCTTCCCCTTTCCTCATTATGTTTTTTTTATTTCTCACCCTCCTTCTGCTGCCCCCTTCCTCTCTCAGTCATAATTTGCCTCCGTAAGCGTTTTATAAATCTATTTGTAGACCACTGTTTGTATGTTTGCAGAAACAAGGCAGTCACCGTGACAGGAAGCTGAGTTAAACATTTCTGCAAACGGTTTTCTAGTTGTGCAGCATTCTTGTACAAGYTGGGACAAGGGTTCACACAGAACAATAGAGCTGTAGTAAAATGATAGGGTGCAGCAGATTGAGAAAATTGTCTTGGCGTATCACTTTGCTTTAAGTTGGGTTAGATAGAGCATCAGCCTTTTGCCTTTGTAACTACGGAAACACGCAGAGACAGAGAGAGAGAGAGAGAGAGAGAGAGAGAGAGAGAGAGAGAGAGAGAGCAAGGACAGGAAGGAAATGAAGGGGAGACGTAGACAGACATAGAGACGGAGGGGAAAACTGCAGATGAGGGTCAATGGGGCTTTCCACTGTGTGGGATCAGAAAAGGTATGAGAAGTAGGTAAGAACGAGTGAAGAGAGGAAAGAAATCTGTCACTGCCAGATCAAACATCACGCCGAGAGTGAACACAGAGCAGCCTGACAAACGAGTCAGAGTCAGAAAATAATGTGCCTACGGAGGTGAGAGAAAGCTGTCATTTTTATTTAGTTTTTTAAAAAAAAAAAACAACCTGAAGGCTCAGCTTTTTACGCACAAAGGGACGACCGTATTGAATGGGCTTTAAATGACAARCATGAATTGTACAGCGCAGACGTACGTCTATAATGGGAGATGCTGTGACCGCTGCCCTGCAGGTTAGTAAACATCACAAAGTTTCTTCCACTTTTACCTCTTTGTTAAACTCTTTTTAGAACTCTCTAAAGCATCGTGATCCCAAACTGGTTTGTTTTTTGTATTTATTCAGGTCAGTATGTACAAGATCACTGCAACGAATCACAGAAGACGAAATGTGCCATTTGTCCACATGGGTTCCACACAGCCACAGAAAACCACTTGACCAGTTGTCCAACCTGCAAGGAGTGTACTCACAGTAAGGCAAACACACACAAACACAATGCAGACACTTCTCCTCCATCCCCACTTCTCTTTTATGAAAGACTGATGTGTGTTTTACAGTTTTCTTTACGTTACGTTTTGTTTTAACATATAAAGTCCATTAAGCTCTTTTAAGTTTTATTTTCTGTTCCTGGGTGTGAACATCTTCTATGTATTTTCATTTAAGATAATTTTCATAATGAAAATAGAAGGAGGAAGCGGTTAAGGAGTTTTAGTCGAGTTGTTTAGTCTCTAGTGGAGGGCAGTCTGTTTCAGATGAAACCTGACCACCCACACACATACTGTACACAGACTCACGTAGCTTTAAAAGAAAAAAATGTTGTTTTTTTTATCTCACAGGCAAAGGGATAACAGTAAGAGCCTGTACGGCTAAAGAGAACACAGTCTGTGGGTGTGAAGCAGGTTTCTACTGTAGCAATGAGAACTGTGACCACTGCCAGCCCCTGACACGCTGCCCGATGGGTAGAGGAGTTACAGTTCAAGGTAGGCCTCAGATATAATTAACAGAAACTGTTCTGGTCTCCTGCATGAATTCACATCCCAGTTCACATCTGATTCCATCTTGCAGCCAGTCGAACGAGTGACTTAATTTGTGATCCGTGTAAAGAGGGAACCTTCAGCAACGTCACAGATTTCTCCTCACCCTGTGTACCACACACCAGGCAAGACGGTGTCCCTTTTTCTTACACAAACCGTTAAATCTAATGGATCATGTGCTGCGTGAACATGAGTAACTTTATTTAATCCACCATGATGATAATGCTGTTCTATCTCACATGTTGCTTTCAGCTGCGACAACCTTGGAAAAAAGCTGCAAACTCCAGGAACCTTACAAACTGATGCCGTCTGTGGGAACTTCAAAACATGTAAGTCCTCGATTTAATCTTTAGTGTATTAGTTTAATCTCTGTAAACTTGTGTTTATGTGAAAGCTCTTTCTGCTATTGAAACGAGCTTGGGTAGCGGATGCTCTTATGCTCTCAAAGATCCGGTTGACCTTAAATGAAGAGAGGAAGGGAAAGTAACACAGATGGGAAACCATTTTATGCAGCGGTTGCAGTTTACATGTTGCTTACAGGAAATCATGGAGTATAATGATGTGATAGGTCTAAAAGGGGGAAATCACCTTTAGTGAATAAAGATAAGAGTTAAAATAGTTCATTTTTTTCTATACTAATGTGAAAAATCATGTTTTACACAAGTGCTGTGGTTTGTTGTCACTGCATGTTTTCAGTGAGGAGAGATGGAGGAAGTGTTAACACTGAGCTAAAGTTGTGGTTAGCATTCAACTGTTCTGCAATACGGCTGCAAAGATGGGCCCACTTTTTGAGCCATCTCTGGTCATCTCGTAAAAATGTGTGCTCACAGGAATGAAACCAGCACCAAGAAAACAGCGAGCGACAGTAGAGAGAAACACTGCAAGTGCCCCCCCGTTACTCTGTGTCTACCTCCCTCAGAGTCCAGAAACATAACAGTGACAGGTTGACTTATGCCCCACCATGCTGTTGTTACATAAACCACAGAGGCGTCTCAGGCCTGGCTTGAAGGTGTTTTGTAAAAGTGGTTTATGTCTTATGGTTTCAGCTCATACTGACTCAGGTGGGCTAATGCGTTGGTTTTGTCAACTGCCTATTTGAGAGAAAAAGGGTGAAAGAGGGGCTGGTAAAGTTACCAGAAGGAGTTTAGACCAAAGCATTGCCGTTCCACTTTATACAGCCCCCAGCTGAGTGATTTAAATGTTAAAAAGAAGGATTTAAAAGCATAATATGTCTACTTTAACTCCTGAAACGAACAAGTAAACACCTTTAGGTTTTGGGTTGATGATGTGCTCAAAACGTTTTGTCTCATTTCAAAGGATTTAGTTTTGTGGTTTATATTTTTTATTTTTTRGACAGAAAGGGTGTCTCACAAAGACACAGTGGTTTTTATAAACCTACACAAAGTTGTGCAATAGTACTGTGCCTGTCCAGTGATGTTGACGAAAAAATATCTTTTGACCACATGTTACTAACTTAAAGCCACGAGATTAATAAAGTGTGGCCACGAGATCATTTTGAGCAGAGGTGTATTTTTGTGAAAGATTGTTGGAGTCAGATTATTTGAATGTGTTGTTTTTGTGTTGAACTGTTCAAAAGGCACCTTACACTTTTTATTTTTATTAATTTTTGGTGTATGTTTAATCTAAACAGTTCATCTTTCATAGTATTTATGAGCTGGTTTTGAAGTGTGTGAAAAATGTCATCATCGAGCAGGAAGATGTTGTTTAGTTCAACTTGATCATTTTTACGTCTTCATAGAAACTCAAAGAAAATTTTTGTTTTGCTCATTAATACATCCTTTATGAAACAATTTTTTCTTTCTCTAGGTTGTGTTGTAGCTTCAGAATCTATTGTGTGTTTTCATTGATTTGTGTTGGGGCTGCATGTAAGGAGTTGTTAATAATACGTGTGCAAAAGTTCTAAATCACCCCTAATTCATTGCAGTTGCTTTAAAGGAGCCAGAATTTCTTATAACCACATAATAAATTACAAAAAAATAAAAATAATTGCATACTACTGTACTAATAATTTGGACAAATGTTTGTTAGAATGTGAACTGACTATCAAGTGTTTGACCACTTGGGATAATCTGAAATAATTTTACTAATCAGATTAACAGATTGGGCCCTGACATGAAAAACCAGAGCTCACTTCCTTCCACTYCGTTTTTCCCAGCATTCATGACGTTGTTACACTTGTGTGACGTTAACCAGAAGACCTGATTAAAAAGCGTCTCTGTTGTTTCTCTGTTTGTGCCTCAGATTGTCCTTGGATACTCCCTGCAGGCCTGTGGGTTGGACTCGTGTTGACCATAATCGTTGCGGCTGCTTTCATCTTCTGGAGAGTAAAACACAGACAAAACAGAAGAGGTGCGTAGATTTTCTCGTACTGTTAAAAAAAAGTCAAAAGGCTTTGTGCAGAAGTGACTATGCAGGTCTGAGCTCACCGTCAGGAAATATTCATGTCGTTAGCCACAACTATGAGACATTTTTCTTTGAAGTCGTACAGTTTAAGGTCACTGCTGATCATCACTTTCAAACATCCCCTCCCACAGTTTACTTGCAGGGGATTAATAAAACAGAAACTTTGATTAAGGTCAATAAATTTGAATATCAGACGTTTTGTGTCAGGGCTACATGTAAGGCAGATGTCTTCTCTGTGAAGACATCTGCCTGTGTTAGTTCTGTCGCATGAAAACAAAAGTTAAACTCAGACGAGTTAARTAAGAGAACTTCAGCAAAGACAAGCTGAATGGCGAAACCACATCCTGTACAGTTTCAGCTTGACACAGTTACTTGGTAAAATGTGACTCATACTTCAGAGGCCGCCCACTCATACTGTGAGCTCAGTCTGACGCACATGGCACCGTGTTGTTACACATTGTTTTGGCTGACTGTATTTCACTTGGCATTTGCTGATTTTCCACAGAATCTCTGCAAACCCATCTGATGTAACACAACGAGTGAATATTTGATTAGCGTCGGGCGCTAATTGGCTTCTCAGTATTTTAACGCCAAATGTGTCAGAAGTCAGTGCCGTTATCTGTTAAATCTGCTGATCAGGCTCAGCGCTGCACAGAATCAAGACGTCTTGTTCTTTTTTTTTTGTAAATATGTCTGTACAAAAAGTTTTTTCAACGGAAATACAAAATGTACATTTTGCTTTAGTGTCGTGTCACTTCCTGTTTTACTTAAAGACTTGATGATGATGAGGTATCCTTAATATAAGGCAACCTATGATGGTCAAAGGTTTTCTACTGCTAGGGACCAATATGGGCACAACTCCTACATTGTTTAATATATATATATATATATATATAGTTAATAATTTATTACTGACAACATTAGTGTAAATTGCTGAAGTTTATTGTGTTTATTCCATAACATTTATCTATAAGGTGTTACAGAAACACACACAGTACAAATAATTTCTGTTTTTTCATGGTTTGCTTTAATATGATGCAACAGTATTATGGCGAGACAATTTTATTTTTTAAATTGTTATACAGAACAATTGCTGTAATCTAACGTCATTTATTCAGAAATATATTTCCATACATGTTGTATTTATTGAAAAAAAATCACACAATACCTCTAGATTTATTCTGACTTATAGTAAATTGATATATCATGTAAGACTTGACATTTTAAAGTCTGCAGGTGGTTTAAGATTTCCTTTAAGGATCAATATGCATAATTGTCATTTTCTGGTAATCTTTTCTTAAATGAGTTGTTAGTGTGGAAATAGGAATCAGACATATTTTTTTATTATGGTTAATAATAGCAAAGTTTTTTTGCCCTTATCCTTTCTGTTTTTCAACTTCTTCAATGGTGTGTTGAATCCAGTCTACATAATTCTCCACCTTAGTGTAGTAACCCTTGTAATTGCGACTCTTACAGCTGGGTCCCCAGGACACAATGCCAATCAGATAATGAGGCTCATCATCGGAAGACAACATGGGGGAAACAAAAGGACCTCCACTGTCTCCTGGACAACTGTCCTTCCCTTCTTCTCCAGCACAGAACATATTACCAGTAAAAATCCCTTTTTTGTTGCTTTTGGGCAGAGTAGGTGTGTTTCGACAGACAGATAAGGAGAAAACTGGAATATGAACATACTGTAAAAACTGTGAGCTCTGTAACTTCCCATTCACATCAGTTACCCCCCAGCCTGACACTGTGCCTTGTTCATTTTCCACTACACCCCTGTCAGATCTTGGCAAGCAAACAGGAAGAAGGTTTGGGCCTAAGTTCACTCTGGATTTGAATCTTATGAGGGCAATATCATTATCAAAATTTGTTCTATCATTATTTGCATAGCCAGGATGAATTATGATTTTCTCACTGTTGATGACAGAAGCAGTCGTTGATTTTCCATCCACTAGTCCACCTAAGAGTTGCAAGGAGGTTTGATCAACATTTTTCACAACGTGTGCAGCGGTGACCGCCCACTGATCATTTATCAGTGACGCTCCTCCTCTGTTTGGTTCTTTAATAAAAAGTTGCCATGGTATATCTCCCAGTGTTGCGTTCTGGCCTCCTAAAATTCTGCCTGAACTCGATGAGTCTACTTCAGGCATCCCACACACTAAAATGAACAGAAGAAATCAGAAAATCTCCTAAGAATAAGTGATTACTATGGAAAAAGAAACAATAACCTACCTTCAGTACATTGTGGCATCCCTTGGTTGTCATCCACTGAGACCCATTCACCGCTGGCACTGCAGATATATGTGTCTGAAARATTGAAAGAAGCACGTCGGTAAAACTATCAAAGCATCAGTTCAACCTGTGAACAGATTTGGAGATGATTTTGAAAATCACCATTTCCTTCCAGTTTGTAGTATTTTGAATTGCAGTAAAACTGGATCTGGTTGTTGTATTTGGTGCTTCGTTCAGCTGAGGGCACCAACTGGAGGATGCCATCATCCTCAATTAGAGGCAAACCACAGTCCACAACTATACAGTGTGAGTAAGAAGTACAACAAGCAAGCACAATTAAAATAATATAAAATTAGTTAAAAGTTTTTAACAGGAAACAAAAACTTTTTTGGTTTATTCCGACTCACTTTCACAGGGATRAATGGGAGCCCATGTGCCTGTGCTCAGGCAGGTTGTCTCATACTCTGTTAACATATCCTGTTAATTACAAAACAAAAGCTTATATYAGGATTTTACAGTGTCGTGTGGTTGATATAGCTTTTTTTCTGTTTTGTTTTGTTTGCTTTTTTAGTGAACTTACTAAATTTGCAACATGCCCAACATCACACGTCACTTTCACCRTTTCTCCCCAACTATATTCTGGTTTGTGAGGCGTCATCATGGAGTTTGAGGTCACTTCTGGTCTACAGACCTTATCTGTGTATGAGAACATTTGTCGTTTTCAACAAACATTATTTAAACATGTTCTTTTTGTGTGTTAAAGGAACTGGATTACTTCTGGTTTTGAAGTGGAGGCTGAAGCCTTTGTTGGAGCCGAAGCCGTCAGACGTGAAGCGAATTTGGATATGATGGGAGTGAGTGGGGAGGGGAGAGGGGGGAGGCTTGTTACCGCAGAACGGCCCCAGAGTCCCAGGGTGAGTCTCAATCTGTCACAAACATCAACACAGGAAATGTCAACAAGTTAAAGTTTCCTAACATCCTGATAAAACATGCAGTTACACAGCACAAGTTGAATGCTTCAACAAGAAACTTTAGTAAGAATTATTTAGCAAACTGCATCTGGGCATAGGTTTTATGTCCAAATTAAAGCTGATGTGTTTTCCAGTAAAATGCGTGGAGGCAGAGGTGTGATGGTTTRCCGTTTTCTGCTGCTGGTAAATTTTTTTCTTTTTTTAAACACCTAAATGGTTGAAGTAACCACAGCATCCCGTGTGACACACCATCTCCATGTTATTCGTTGGG